CAAAAAAAAAGAACAAACTCACTCCCCCGATACCTCACTCCCGGCTCCCCCCTCACCACCTTCCCACCCTCTTTCCCCTTCCCCCCAAGCGCCCAAACACCCCCCCTCCCCCTAACCGGTACATCCCCCCACCACCACCAAGGACTAACCCCCATCTGCTCACTCAAATCATACACGCCAAAGATCGTGCCCCTCAAATCAGAACCCACAATCACCATCGCTTTCTCCACATCTGGAAGCGGGTTGTCGACCACTTGTACGAGGTAGGATTCCCATTTGCCGTCGATGGGGGAGGCGTCGAGTTTTTGGGTGGTGAGGTGGGTGGTGAGGTGGGTGATGAGGGGGGAGTGGTGGAGGGTGCCGATTAGGAGTTTGATTTTAGATGGAGAGGTGGTGGTGTTTGATGGATATGAGGTGGAGTTTAATGGGGTGTAAGGGAGGAGGGTTGGGCCGTGGAGGTAGGAGGGGGAGGGGGTGGTGGTGTACTTTTGGGGGTTAGTTGGGGTTTTGAATTCGGTGTTCAACCATTTTAATCCCCCACTTCCTCATAGATCCAACTCCAATGCAAATTAAATAAAATCCCACTCAAAACGACAGAAAAGACAAAAAACAAAAAAGCGAAAATAAAAAAACCCAACATACATTAACAAACCCCTCAACAGGCCAATACTCATACCTAACCGTAATGCCCTCCTCCCCTCCCTCAGTCCCATTCCAATCCCTCTTCCCATTCCTCTTCCCCGTCCCTCTTTTCCTCCCCTCACCCGTCCCATCACCCCAATCAACAAGCGTCAAATTCCTCCCCAAAACCTTCCCAAAATCCCCCGCCAGATCCCCCGCCGCCCTCACAACACCCCACCAGTCTTCACCACTAAGCAGAATCTGTCCATCCAGATCCTTACCCCCAAGTTGTAACAATCCCTCACTTTCATCGGGGTTAGTAGTGATAGTAGGTTCCTGTCCGAGGGACAGAACCACACTCGGTATGAGGGCCGAGAGGGCGAGAAGGGGGAGTAAGGCTCTCATCTCGGTATGGTAAGGGAGAAGATGGGAAAGGAAGAGGGTGAGAACAAGGGAGGAAGAGGGAGGAGAGAGGAGGATATTAATGAGTATTAACTCGGCAAAGCTCTCACTCGCAAAGATGGAGAAGCAAAAAAAATTCCAAGACCGAAAAGGTGAAGAAAGTGACATGATCAAAAAAAGAGTTTACCCCCGCGTTTTCAACAAGTAAATGGGGCATGATCCGTTCCAAGGAAGAGAGACGACTGAGGTTGACCAACCTACCGGTTGAATGGGGCACGAAGCTTCCATGAAATAACACTTTGTATTGCATATGTAGCATCGGGTCTCGAATCTCGAAGCTCCAAACCAAGCACTTGCTTCCAAAATTTCGTCAAACTGACAAATGAGGCCAGTCATACCTGCATGTAAATTGCAACTTCAATTCCACATAACAAAGAAAAGATAATACAATAATGGAAAGTGGGATAGACGGCAAAACTATATTGCGGGGTATCAAGAAAATAATTTAGCCTGAACAAACCCATCCCGGCCCCATCCGGCTGCCCCCAAAAATTATGGGGTAAACAAAATCCCATGCTACGATTCGACAATGCCATACCATGCCGAGATCCACTTACCTTGGTGACACCACCCACTCAGCTTCCACCATATGGCGCGTGTGACCTCCTTCGTATAGATGCTTTGGGACAACGAGATCAATTGATTGAAAGCGGAATCGCGAGTCGAAATCTTCTGGTCATTACGGCTGTAGCAAAATAGTATGAAGCACTTAATCATGATAGGCAAAGCAATTTGAAGTAAATTTGAAAAAAGGGAGCATGTAGAGATCGCCAACCTTCTGGTACTTACAAAGGTTCCAAACCCCCCAATCACCACTTTACAGTCCTAAGTTCAGATGTTGGTATGCCGTCACGGCGAGAATCCAGCCATCGCGTCTCTTACTCAAGATTCCGGACCAGGAATGAAGCTTCTGCCAGAAAGAAACGCTAAAACCAACAGCAATTAGAAATCTACATGAAACCGTAACAGAGCGCTACCCGCTAACTTATCTTCATCCTCAGACTTTTTGTCGTCCACTCTTCCCTTCAATTTTTGGAATGGTCAAATCATGGCGAAACGCTTTGGCATAGAACTGGGTATGTTGACGAAGTGGTGCCACGAGAAAAGAAAAGTGAGAGACTTGAGCGACCTGCCGACGTGCTTTTATATAATGAAAACCCAGCTTTACGCTTTGATGGCAACAGCCTCAACGCCCGCCGTAGCACCTTCAACGGGTGATGATTCAGTCTTTCCTTCTGGGATGAATGCGTACCTGGGCATTAGAGCCATCTTTTCTTCGGGGCTGATCTCATTATCAGAATATATCATCTTGGTTGGCTTGTCCTTCTTCGATTTCTTCTCCGCCGGTTCGGCCTTGGTGACCTCGGGTTGAGGGGTAGAGGTTGCTTCTGCTTCTGTAGCGGATACTGGAGTTGATGTAGCATCACCCTTCTTCGGTGGTTTAATACCGGCTTCGGCCATTCTGATAATCTCGTCAATGTCATCAGCTTCTCTAGCGGCGCCTGAAACCAGGTCATCCACCGAGGAAGCGTTAGTCGTATAATCTCCAAAGCCTTGAATTGCGGGAGGATAAGCTGGTGACATAGCTGTTTTCTGTTCTTGACCTTTCCATCCATTGCCTTGCCATCCAGCTTGCTGACTTTGGAAGGAAGCAGGTGGTGGGCCTTGATGCAACTGTTGCATCTGATAAGGTGGGACTGCTGGGGCTCCGAAAGAAGGGCGTTGTGGAAGACCAGGAGCCGGCGGAAGACTCGGAGGTCGGTTGGGGAGATTTCCAGGGACAGATGGTGAAGTCGAAGGTGGTCCTTGATAACCATTAAACGATCCAGGCGGTGGTGAACCAGCTCCGAATGATGGTGGGGGTGCACCGGGGTAAGTCTGACCTGGTGGTGGTTGAAAACCTGGTGGAGGAGGAAAGGATTGTGATGATGGAGGATATTGTTGCGGTGGTGAGAATTGTGGTTGAATTTGGGCACCTGGGGGACCAGAGAATGGCGGCTGAGAAGTATAAGGCTGTTGGTAAGCTACCGCAGGTTGCGAATAAGGTTCTTGTGAAAATGATCCATAACCCGCACCTTGTGTAGCGCCATAGGAAGCTTGTGGAGGAGCAGAATATGGAGCAGCATTCTGTTGGAGAAGAGTTAGCACGTATAACTCAGAACTGACGTTGAAACTTTGGAAACTTACAAATGAACTTGGACTCTGTCCCAAAGGACTATTCTGTGCACCATCCAGCGGAGTATTACCACCACTTGCCCCAGCCGCCTTCTCGGCCTCTTTCTTCGCTTTATGCTCGGCTAATCGTTTCTTCAACTCGGCAGGGCTCTCGAACTTTGGCTTCTTCGATTGTCCGGCATTGTTTCCTCCTGGGCCAGGATTTCCCGTCGCAGCTCGACGTTCGGCTTCGGCTTGGTAGAAACCCTGGATAATGCGCTGATTATGTGCTGCGGAGACCTCTTCCGGGATTCCTTCCATACCAAAGATTTCCACCTCAAGGCCTTGTCTATTGGGCAATGAGTTATCGACACTTGTTAATGTTTCTTTGTGTACCTGGTTCATGTGCACAGAGAGTCCTACGGGCGTCAGTATGGAATGATATGTCTTGGGATCAGATCGGTATACCTCCAGCAGTATTTAGTCTTCGACCGCATCTCTCGCATTTGAAATGTTTGGCTTTTTGATGGGATATGAGAATCTTGAGATCATCGAAATCACGCTCACCTAGACCGATCTGTTAGTATGGGGGCCAACCTAGGAAGGTAGAGGAGAGACTTACAGTAGTAGCACCATGGCCTCGCGAGAAGCTCCTCGACGTCGGGATGGCCGCGCTTCTTTTTGCCGACCATTGTAGCGGATGATTGCGATATTCGTGATGGTTGATGGTGTTGAAGAGATGGGTAGTTGGTGTCGCGCGCGATGCGATGGTAGATGGGTTGGTGCCCACGGAGTTGGTGGTTCTAGCGTTCTAGCCTGGTCCACCGATTAGTCAGCTAGTCAACAAAATTTGAATTTTCTTCAGCCTCATTCCACGCTACTGCCATCACATACCTAACTTGCGCCAGACTTGTTCCTCACTGCAAATACACCAGATTTGTGCTCTTTGTGGTAGACTGCGGTTGCAGATATAGCTGTTCAAGCAAGCAAGCCTCAAGTCAATTTCAAAGGTAATCAAACGTAAGACAATTCACTCATTCTCATTGAGTTTCTTTTGTCTTCAATCATTTCCTACAAAGGAGCTACCTATTCCCTTGAATATCGACCATACAACCGCAACACCTTGATCAATCACTCAGCCTTCGTGGTATCCAAATGAGACTTCCCTCGGGAAGCCTTCCGTCATCTTCGCGTCTTGTGTCGAAGGCGGATGGAGATTGAAAAAGAATGCGATGCCTTCGGGTGTTGCCTTCTCACAGAGGAATGTTGCAAGACCAAAAGGACCTTCATAGTCCATGCTCCTACTCTTCATGAGAATCCTACAAGAGCGTGGCTCCTTGCGTACCAACATTCAATCTCAAAACTTCTTGAATATGTACTGGACTGACTTCAATTTGAAGCAATGACATTTCCTTGATGTGGCTACTAATTGGCTCTATCCATAATCACGAGAACCTCAAGCACAATGGAATATATCGAGAGCAAACTAACATCAGATCTCGCTCATCGTCTTTTCAAATCTATACACCACCGCCCAGTAACTGTAGTACCAAGAGCTTGCAAGTGGATTGTTCTATGGTGTCGTTGTCTCCCATTTACGAGTAATACCGAATCCATCGTCCACCAGAATTCGAATGCAAAGATTCGAACGTTTTGGATATTCAGCAAGGTTGACTTGCGGAACGAAAAACCACGCAAGTTCACCTATCAAGTTAGCGAGCGGCATATCAGCAAGCTATAAGAAGTTCTTGTGATAATAGGTAGTTGACATATGGGGGTGTATAAGATGTCTGGGACTTGCCATGTGATGTTGCGTTATCAGGCCCCCTCCGTTACAGATGACTGCGCAACCATAGTTACAATACTAAAAAATGGAATAGATGAGAACTTGGATGGACATTACCTATGCTAAAATAAACATCCCCACACGACATGAAAAGCACACTCCTACCAGCAGTACAAAAAAAGCCATCACAGCTTTCAAGTCAAATATGTTACACTATACAAGTAGCAGGCATCAGAAGAAACCCCACTTAACATCCTCTTCGACTGACAGTTGAACTCTAAGAAACTTCAACTCTGCACCGAAAGACGCTCTGTCCTACATTGAGTTAGTATATCCCTTCCATCGAACCCTCAAAGCTATCTATAACCTGCGAAAACATGGTGGGGATATAGCAACAATCCGCACTCGCGTACTCTGAAGACCATCGGCATACACAGTCTCCCAAGGAAGCAAAAGGCGAGAATATGGACGGGGAAGAAGAACTCTCATACTCCCATGTCATTCCCCGTACGACCTTGCCCCTCTCCAACTACAAAGTCCTTTTGCTGTCGATTCTTTCCTTGCTATCGAAAGTCATCTTCCGTTCTTCTACGTACTGTACTGCCGACATAATAGTTGCGTAGGAGGAAGACGCACTGACTATTACATGCCCCAAACCCAACCGCCACGCCAACATCAAAAGCGGCTCGCCGCCGATCTTCTTCTTCCGGTGCTTCGTGCACCATTGTGCCAGGTGAAGATGAAAGGGGAAAAATCCCCCGGGACAACAGGTCAGGTAGTGGAGAGGAAATCTCCCTTCGTAATCATGAGAAGAAACCCCCTCCCCCCCTCTTAGAATTTATGGAAGAACCACAATTGACCCCAGGGTATGAGGTTCATGAAGATTGGAATGATAGTAGTAAATGTGGTAAATTATATCTCCTTCTTTGGGACACGTTGTTCTGGAAACTTGGAAAGTGCTAGGAAATTTCTGATTCAAGATCTTTATATCCACTTCTCTTGGGGAAGCAATATGCTTTGAGCTCGTCGTATCTAGGTTCCGTCTCTCACTCGAGAGTCGGGAGGGGGCAGTCAAGAACTCAAGAACTAATTCTCACGAACTTCTCATCTGTAAACACCGTATGCCTGCGAGATTACCCATCAACCATCCCAAATCCACAAGGTCTCCTCATCTAAGGCGAAAAGACGAATGCGTGCAAAAGGAATGCCATATATCACAGACTCCGCGAGGTCGCATCACAAAGGACAATAAACTCCAACAATGAATGGCAGAGAGAGATGTAGCCCACTGGGTCCTAGACTAGGGGGTCGAGCGAAGAAGTCCATCGTATGAAAGATTCACTTTGAGATACAAGTCTCCACAATCAAATCAAGAATCTTAGAATTTTGCCTCACAGTAAAGTGATTTACATGCTTTTCGTTGCCGTCTTGCCGTCAAAATATATACTACTGTCGATTCCGAGAATTACTATAGCACAATATCATAGATGGGAATTAGCGGTAAGGAAGATTCTCATAGTGGTCTGGTCTGGTCTTCCTGTTGTTGCAATTAGTATCACGCGATCTTTGGGTTCTTTGGCTGTCTCTGCATCCGCCAACGCGACAATGGAGGTTTTTGCAAACACGGCTGTGTACCACTGTGCTGGATCAGTAGTTGGGGGAAAGTAGGTTATTAGAGGGATTCTGAGGAGCGGGGAGGACTTGTGTGGTTATCTTGTATAATACTGTAGACTTCCCTGTGTAGATGGAGGGGTTTAAGGGCTTTAACACTTGCCTTGACCTACTCTGGTATAGATAAAATCTCATAAGCTACTTGTCATCGAGAATCTTTCAGGTCCGTTTCCCTTTTGAGCATTGATTTTAGCGAAGCGATAGTTACGCTGCCAAAAACAATATTACAATAGCACATTTTCAACAATCATCATCAAACTGAAACTTACAGCACCAGCATTTGCAAATCTCCCGAACGGAGTCGAAATCTATTCTACAGTCCGCAAAGCTTCCTTACCATACCATGGTCTTTTTCATGCATATGAGTTGTTCTCAATAAACTCTCTTTAAAAAGGAACAAGCTTATAACGTCAAACCTAATGAAATCCCCCAGGCTTTCGCGTTCTTCTGGATCTCCCGGGTGCTGTTCTTTGGTTTGCAGAAAGCTGGGGGATATACTAGTTAGACAAGTGTTCTTTGTGGCTTGTTGAATACTTGACTGTAGGATTGAACAAGATGAGGTGAGAAATGATGGGAAAACCTTTGTCCTGTGGTTACTTCTTTTGTATTTTGGAGACTTCTTATAATACCTAGGCTTTTTTGGACTTACCATTCTTTGCATTCCGATGGATTCTGAGAAATCATCCCATGTGCGCTATAGGTGGTGTTATAGGTGGTGTTATAGGTGGTGTGTTATACGACCTATTCTCCTATCTCAGGATTTGGCGTGGTTTTGGGTGTTCTTTACTATGAAAAGTTTCCAAATGCTATTACTTTTTTACAAAAGCTTGCTTGGTCTCAAGGTGTAACAAAGTTCACAGCCACGTTCTCGTTAACGTACGTACCGTAATCCTTTTCAAACACCTCATTATTTTGTCTAGTCTTGCCTCTCTTCTTTTTAATCCCATTATACCAGCAAATAAACACACAAACAAGAAAACCAAGCGCAAATCCTGAACTGCTCCTCGCTCAAATCCCGTATCAAAGCTACTACAATTTCAAGCAGTCAACACCTTTCCTACACTGGTAAGACCTCTCAGAACTAGGTAAGCGTAAACAAGATCCATAGTCACAACATGGATCCAACAAGATTTCCTGTTCAAAAGCCATGTGGCAGTACCCTCTATACAACAAATCTAGTTGGCTCTACAACAGCTCTACAATCAGCTAATCCTCCTTACATACAATACAGAAGACTCAATTCTAGAAACTCTAGAACAACCACGAAAACACCCTAACCTAGGATCTATATCCTATGAGAATTTTCAGAACACAGTGGTAAGGAAGAGGAGCCCAGCTATATTAATTAAAAGATGTAGAGATTTTACATCAATATTGAAAGTCACTAAGGGCGAACAGGATGGTTAATGTGGCAATTGGACCTTACGTATATCTTTATGGCCATAAACTCCTGAATAATTAGAAGAGTATTAAACTTGGGTCTATACCAATTAGAATCTCTGGAACGTAGAGATTTAAAAAGATATATTAGACAAAGCATTTCGATTCTTGCTGTCGAGTATTTTGCTGTTGTCGAAAGTGGAAAGTTCTACGAAATAGAGGGGCGATGAACTGTGGATGCTTGAGGATATAGTACTGCTCTTCTGCCGTCAGACCTCCACAGTGTTGAAGGGCAGCAGCTGCAACATCGCTGAGATTGCTAGAAGGGGAAAACCCATTCTGACCAGTGATGTCAATTGGGTGTATGGATATCCTGGAGAATTTTCTTTCGTGTGATTGCTTAAATCCCTCCTTACTTGTTACTGGGTTCTGCGGGAGTCTCTTGCACGCATGAATTCCTTGACAAGGGCTTTTGTGCAATCCTTTTCCTCTGGTCAAACTTCTACTTTTATATGACGGATTGACTGCTGAATATCTCACGATAGAAACTGTGAAGGATGTTTGAGAATGGGTAGCAAATGAGTATTGTTTCACTTCTCGTACTTAAGCCCAGCTCAGAGGAAGCTGTCTCTGCCTATTCTTTTAATTCACATTTCGTTAACGATGACATAGCTCGTACTAAGCTTGAACTCGCCCAACCATACAAAGGTCAACCATATTAGCATATATCAATACTGACAATACATTACAAACACAAACAAACATTTGTTCTCAAAATTATCTTCATATCCCTCACGCTCCCAACTCTTAATATAAACTTCATACCTCATCAATCCCCTACTGACACAATTTCTTCCTCCAGACCAGCGTTCGGCAAATGGTACTCGATTCTATAGATTCTATAATTCTATTCTATATGGAATATTGTTAGAGGTCCTTATAAATGGCATACTTATTTCTATCGAATAGGCTCTGGTATTCTATGGAATTATGGAATTCTAAAACACGTGACGAGTACGTACTAAGCTAATAGCTTATTCGTATACCTAGGGCTAGGTACTCGAGTACTATTTACTAACTCTCGGCGCTAAATAAAGGGTGTGTTTTACGTATCGAGGGTAACTAAGGGAGCTTGTATATATCGCTTGATCTACTTAATCACTTGTCTATAACAACCTCCTATAATTAGTAGAGTTGTTATACGCTTGCAAGAGGCGTTTATCTAGAGGTACTAGAGGATTCCATTAGTTTTTAGACTAGGGAAACTTTACTCTGTGTTATGTGGATTTGTTCTATAGTATGCTATAGAACTACCCTATATAGAATAGTATATTCCAGAGGGGGGGTCTGGTATGGAATAGAATTCCAGTTGCCGAACGCTGGTCCAGACAGTACTTATCCATCACCAACGTTTATTCATTAATAAAAGTACACAGCAATTCTATCTTTCAGTACAAGTGCCTGATAATAGCCATCAGTAGACATAATGAGACCCATGGTGCTCCTAGATTCAAGGTATAAACCCGTCATGCTAAGCATAATGCAACTAAGTATACAACTTCAAACAAGGCTTCATTGATTTGACAGATTGTGAATTTGTAGGTGCAGTCTCATGGAGGGTAGCTATATCGTGGGAGAAACAATCAGAATCAGAGAACAGACACATTCAAGAACCTGTATGACGCATTAATTATTGTATCTATATCAATTTGGTTTTATAGTAGACTAAGTGATGTCGCTGTCGAATATTATCTTGCTGTCGAAAATACTTCTTTTGTTTGTAGTTTCTGGATTGTTGCTCTGCTATTGGCTATGCCATACCTGTATCTGTATCATGAAAAGCTGGTACTTTGATAAGATGCTACAAGTCTCTTGTTTGTATATTGTGAGCCGCCCTGGCAGTGGTGGTCTTATCGTAGTCCGGGATTTCATGCTTCTTGAGGACTTCTTTGTGTTCAGATACCGATCTGTCTTTTTATCACATTTCTTGCTCACTCTGTGCTAGGGGTTGTGACTACTAGTCTGATCTTTTGAAATAATGAGGCTGGATTTTAAAGCCAATATTCGTCAAAAAGAAGTTTCTTTGAGCTCGTAGGGTATTTGAATTACTGCCTTTGTTTCAGAATCTGTTATATAGAAGGTTGAGTGCGTTATTCCATGAGTAATATATGATGGAATAGAAGGGCTTTAGGGTAAGAGGCTTTCTTTTAGTTTGTAAATTGGGCTTGAGATATGTCGTTTTTGAAGATAGTTTGGGATTTCTACTGTGTTGGGTACAATAGGAGCTTGTAGATGGTGACAAGAGTAGTTTGCTGGAGTTTATGCTGTGATGGGAAGTGAAGGATGTTGTTACCTTTTCTTTTTGAGTTGAATATATACTATGTTTAGTTTCTCTTGTTTCTCTTGGAGTCTTGGTTATTGTGTAGGATATCTCTTTATGGAAGTCACAATAGCGTCACCTTTTATATACAAAAAGGTAAATAAAATATAGGGTGAAGAATTTCTGTTTGTACACTGTATATGCCTTACATGTATTACGAGGCTTAGTGTCTGTGTTTTCTTTTTCTGTGTTAAATATAATATAGAGAAACAAATTTGTAGACTAAATTCACACCAGGGAAAAGAAACGACCTTTTTTGTTTGGAGTTTGTTCTAACCAGGTTACTGTATGTGAACGTAGCACTATACACAACGCCAAAAGTAATTAGTAGTGCTACTTTGTAATGCAGCGTAGCAAGGATACAACTTGATTTGACGAACATCACCAAAAAAAAAAGCTTGGTCCTAGAAGTTTTGTGGTTGATATCAAGGGTCAAAGCTTGTTGGTTGAAGTTGAACTTGAAGTTCAAGTTCCCTACGCTAGCGAGACGCGAAGTGGAGTGAAGCATCGCATGTCAGCCACCACCCCACCGACCAGGCATAACATGCCGCCTAAGTTTGTGTTGTCGTTGGATCCAACCTCCAAAACTGTCGGCATGGCGTTTGCGATTGAAGCACCAGGGGAGGCAGTCCCTCTGAGCCCACAGCAGGTCTATCTTGCTCTCCAGTCGGCTGGTTCATCACAACAGCTGCACATCCAAAGCGGAACGCAACAGCTTCAGGCTTGGGAGACGCAGCGGGGTTACTACACGTTACTGCAGGCATGTCAACCACCCCTCCCAAAATTTCGATCTCAAGCCACGGTCGACAGCTAACTGATGATCGTTGTGTAGGCAGTATATCTCGACAGGTCTCTCCCGTCGGAAGTGCGATACCTTGCCATCATCCAACTCAAAAATGGCATCGACAAGTACTGGCGGAAAACGGCGCCCAATGCCATCACGAAGGAGGAGAAGGAGGAGCTTCGAAAACATTTGATCGAGGGCGGCATTGACGAGTCCAACACGAATTTGGCGCTGCAGAATGCTCTCGTGGTTGCAAAGGTGGTGCGAATCGATTATCCGCTGGACTGGCCGAATGTGCTCCCCAATTTGATCAAGGTCCTGCGAGAGGCACACCAGACAAATCAATTACACCTGCGAAGAGGAATGTTGATCTTACTACAAGTGGTGAAGGAGCTGTCCACCGCCAGACTTCGTACCTCACAGACGAGCCTCCAATCCATCACGCCGGAAATTGTCTTTTTGCTCAACGAAATCTACACGCAGAAGGTCGCAATATGGACCGGCTTCCTGAACGGAAATGGAGAGGACGAGGGAGGCGCGTTGGAGGCAATGGAGAATAGTCTGTACTCAATCAAAGTTCTTCGACGACTTCTCATTGTTGGTTACGAGTTTCCAAACCACTCCAAGGATGTTCAGTCATTCTGGGCCCTTTCACAACACCAATTTGGTCAATTTCTGGATATGGTATCTCGAGATCCGCCGTTCCTAGTTTCCCCTGCAAAGGAGCTGGTTGAGAAGCACTTGGTACAATTTTCAAAACTCCATGTCCAAATGTCAAATACTCATCCGGCCGCCTTTGCGCTTCTTCCAAACTCCCTCGACTTGGTCAGAGCTTACTGGGGTTTGGTGGGCAAGTTTGGTGAATCTTATGGTTCAGCGACTCAGGACTTCAGTGCGAAAGCCATCAATCCGGATGAGAATATGAAAAACCAACGGCCTGTCATGGAAAAGTTATGTCTAAAAGGTCTCACAATGTTGAGAGCCTGTCTGAAAATGGTATTTAGCCCGGCCCAATCATTCAAATACAGAAAGCCCGAGGACAAAGCCGAGCAGCAAGAAGGTGTGGCCTTGATCAAAACACAATTGCTCACAGATGAGCTTGTTTCGCAAATGGCAAATGTTATTGTGACTAATTTCTTCATATTCCGGCAAGTCGATTTTGAGGCATGGGAGGGAGATGAGGATGAGTGGGAAATTCGTGAAGAGGGTGGGGGCGATACGTGGGAGTTTGAGGTCCGACCATGCTCAGAAAAGCTCTTCATGGATCTGGTCATCAACTACAAACATCTGCTCGTCGATCCCTTATTGTCATTCTTCCAGTCAGTTGCTGGTACCGATCAAGCCTCAGTAGTGACCAAGGACGCAGTTTATACCGCTATGGGTCTTTCTGCACCTGTTGTATTTCAAAGTTTCGATTTCGATGGTTTCTTGACGTCAACTCTTGTCAATGATATACAGCAAGTTGGCCCTGGGTACAAAGTTCTTCGTCGGAGAATTGCCATCCTTATTGGACAATGGGTCACTATTAAAATTTCCGAGACCAACAGACCGCTCATATATCAAATCTTTCAACATTTACTAAAGAAGGAGGATGAGACCAACGATTATGTTGTTCGTGTCACTGCCGCTCGACAATTTAAAGCTGTCGTAGATGACTTTACTTTCGCGGCTGACAGATTCCTACCTTACGCCCCCGACTTTCTTGAGCGGATGATGGCTCTGACTCAAGAAGTTGAAAACACCGAGACAAAGATGGCAATTTTAGAGACGATCCGAGTTATCGCAGTACGCCTGGAGAGCAAGATCGCCCCATTTGCCGATCAGATTGTGTCTATATTACCGGGACTTTGGGAGGCTTCGGGCGATGAGCACCTTCTGAAGCAGGCGATTCTGACCTTGATGTCTACATTGGTTACGTCGATGAGAGAGCAAGCTCAAAGATACCATGCATTGATATTGCCACTCATTCAAAGAGCCGTGGAGCCTGGCTCTGAGATGCAGATTTATCTGCTGGAAGAAGCACTTGATCTATGGGTCACTATTCTCGCACAGACACCCACTCCTGCATCTCCAGATATACTTTCACTTGCAGAATGTGCTTTTCCACTGCTTGGGCTTGGTTCAGATAATCTTCGAATTGTTCTCAACATCATAGAATCCTATATCCTGCTAGCTCCCGAGGCTATGCTAAGTGACACGGTTAGACTTAGAATTGTTTCGTACATGGTCAACCTACTTGGTGTGAAGAAGAGAGATCTGGCTGGACTGGTTACTTCAGTTGTTGAGAATCTCATTCGTGCTGCCGAAGCCTTGGGAGGTGCAGATGGAGTCACACTCGTCGCAAAAGACCTTCACGAATCTGGCTACACGACCAAAATCCTCGAAGGCCTTCGCGACGCATGGGAAGCCCACCAAACTTTTGGACCCGAGCGAAAATACCCCAAACTTGACGATGTGGTAGAAACAGATTATTTTACCATCCTCGCTCGTTTGGCACTAGCCAGTCCCCCCGTGCTGGTAACCATTATGAGCTCCGCCGGAAATGCAAACGAAGTTTGGTCCTGGCTTAGCTCAGAGTGGTTCCGTCACTTTGACAGCATGGCCAACATCGACCGACAAAAACTATCGTGTCTCGCTCTTACTCGTCTCCTTGAACTTCCTCCGCCTATGACACCGGTAATTCTCGAACGCCTACAGGACTACTTCGCCATGTGGACCTCTGTCGTCTCGGAAATTCTGGCGGGACGTGATGATGCGGGTGATAATCTGGTTTGGGGCCCATCGGAGGGAAATGAATATGAAGGACCGGAAGATGTAAGAAAGAGACTTCATGCTGCGAATGATCCTGTGCATACAGTCCATACGTTTGATTTTGTCAAGGAGAGACTTGGGCAGGTTGTCAATGCTTGTGGGGGGGAGAAGGCGTTCCAAGACGGGTTCGCATGTAATGTTGATAAGGACGTTCTGGAGGGATTCCAAAAGCTGGGGACGCAGACGCATGTTGACCCCTCCGTGTTCTGGGATCGGAATTAGTATTGTGACCCTTGAGAAAGCTACTTGGGAAAAGGGGGAGGAGTTGCGTTTGTCAAAAGAAAAACATATGGGGTGGATGTCAGAGTAACGTACACGTGCAGGATTTTTGGAGAACTGAAGACGATGAAGGGCGGAATGGAATTGGTCAGATCGGATCTGGTGATGATGATTGATGATTATGATGCATGGAAGTACGAAATACCATACCAGCCAGATTTGAAAGCGGGGATGAAGTACGAAAGTAGGTATGTAAAATGATTTTACGTACAGTAAGATACAGTAGATGAACAGAGATACCCTTTGAACGTAACCACCACCATGTACTTTCCTATAAATCCCAAACTCTAGCTATTGTTGAATTGAAATCCGTTGGGGATGAGTAGGATATGTATCATATCTGCCATGATGGTATCAGTAAGTTTACTACAGTACGTAGGTCAGGTGGGAGTTGGGTTGAAAATCGTATCATGAATGTGCTGTAACGTAATGTGCTTATGAGATACGTATGAGATGGGTACATGTACCTACCTAGGTATCAACGTCCTCTGCCTGATACACCAAGTACTGCACTGTATTTACAACCCCCTCCCCCTATCACACCCAACAAACAAAAGGCATACACACACAGACACACACAAAAACACACACACAAAAACACACACACAAAAAGAAGATGACCCGCTGAATGCAATTTACAAAACAAAACAACCAACAAACAACAAAAATAGAATGAAGCTAACTCCCCAGCTATGCAAAACAAAAACAGAAAGATTTACGCCCCGCTCCAACACCCAAACGCAACCCACAAACACAAAGCAAAGTATACAAACACCTCAGTCAGTAATTACAACTCCCCAGTTTTCTCCCCCAAAATCTCCACCCCACAAATCCTCTCCAACTGCCTCTCACTAAACTCACTCCGTGAAAAATTCCTCTCCTTCTCCACCAACCTCCCCTTCCACCACACCCCCCTCGCAAGACCACTTAATCCCGCTTTGCCAATCCTTCCTTCCCCCCCACCAACACCCACGCCCACACCACGATCGATCTTCCCGCGCTCCAACATCCCGAAACGGAGACCCACCTCAGTGACCGTAACGGCGATACTGATGACGATGAGCATGATGACGATCCAGGTGATGGTGCTCATCTTGGTGTCGGCGAAGTTGTCGGACAGGATCTCGGCGAGGTCGAGGAAGACTTTGCAGCGCTCGTTGAGGACCTTGATGCGGGGGGTGATTTCGAGGTAGCCACGGAAGTCGTAGTAGAGGGGGTGTAGGGTTGGTTCGGAGTTCCAGAAGAAATCGGGGACGTCGAGGATGTTGGATGCTGTGGGTGTGTTTGTTAGTGGTGGAGGAATGGGAGAGGTGGGAAGGGGGACCAACAGAGATTAACGTCTACGCGGCTTTTGAATAGTCGTCCTAGGATTTTTACGATTTCCTTCCGTGACATGCCTAGTTTTCCCGTGAGAGCTAATTGCTTGGGCACGTGTTGGGCGTCGAGCATTGTTTGGGACATTTTTTCTTCGAAGAAGGAGAGTTTGGTGCTTTGGGCGATGGCGTGGGACATGGCGAGTTTGATCATATGGTCTCCGCTTCGGAGAGTGATCATATCGTTAAACACTCTGGGTCTCTCGACGAGAGGACTGTATTCGAAATGGAGCTCCTCGGTCTCGAAGTCATCCTCGTCTAGAGGCTGGGAGACGAGGGAGACGCCGAGTTGGTGTTCTGAGAAGGTTAGATCCGCGAGGATGTCTTTTTCTTGTCGTTCCGTGAAGTTCCAGAATACTACTACGCCATAGGAGAAGACGAACATTTCGGCGAAGGTGGTCGCATCCGGGGCGACACGGTTGGGACTATCCATTCTGGGACCTTGTTCGAAGACTCGTAGTTCTTCTCTACTTCGTCGGCCCTCTTCTTCTCTTCTTTCTCGGTCTTCTTCGCTTTCGTGTCTTGGACTTTCCTCGCCTCCTCTGACGCCGTAGGTATCTGTGTCCTCAAAATAACCCTCGTGATAATCCCGTTGTTCACTCCTCTCAATCTCCATATCCAACACCGCTTTACCTCCCGGACTTTTCAAGATTGGACTACTCTTTATTCGGAAGCCTTCCGAGCCTGGCAACAACGGTAGGTGATAGACGGTGTACAGACAATCATCATAAAGCTTCGTCTTAGCACCATGTCTCTCCTTCACAAACTTGGCCGTAGACGCAGTCTTATACCCCTGCGCCGTACAATAAGCCGTAACCCTCGCAACCTTCTCCGTTCGTTTGGCCTTGGGCAATCGTTCCGCATAACTCTTCCCCCTAATGCCGCCTCTCTTCTTGAGAACATCCATTTCCGCATCTTTTAATGGCCCCTCCTCCCCTTCCCCTCTCCTAATATCCCCCTCTCCGATTTCATCATCGGATTCCTCCTTCTCGCTGACCGTTTCGGGGATCAAAACTAGTTTTTCACTAACTTTCGTCGTTCGACCTGGCATGCTTTGTTGTGTTACCCTATGACCGCTACTTGTGCGCCGCTGGTTTGGGAGCGGTGGTCGTCGGCCTGGGGGGCCACGGGCTTGACCTGAAGGGATTTGAGAGGCATATTGGAGGACGTTGTCGACGGATATCAGGCGTGTGGTTGGAGGTCTTTCTCGAGGGGCGCCGGGGGTGTTGGGGTTAGGTCTTTGGTTGGAGGTTCGTGCCGCGGGACCGCGTTCGCGGGAGTCGGTGACCTTTGAAGAATTAGTTGCTGTATACTCTGGACTTTATGGAGATAATATGCCAATTTGTCCGACGGTCGTTGAGTGTTATGCTGAGCGGTATACTAGATATTTGACTTACGAGAACTGAGGGGCCCCTTTTCCCAGCTGATGGGGGAGTCGCCATGATGGCTAACTGTTGAGTAGCAATTGCCAGTACGAACTAGAGAACAACGACTTCAATGGTTATTTGAGACATCTGGGTGAGGTTATTGATGATTGGTATGGCTGCGCAGATTAGTGGGTATGCGATTGCTCAAAGACGCATTGTCGTCTCTTTGGTGGTTGGGCGAGCGTCTTTGCTGTGGTCGGACGTCATCGAGTGAACTCCAGTTTTTTTTCAGCCAAGTGCCGAGACAGAGGCATTGTATTATCATGAACACCAACACCAACACCAGCCACAAACAAATTCATGAGCAAACATGTGTCATCACGATGTACGCAATTTTCAGTGACAAGCACCGATTCTCAAGCGAGAAAAGTTTTGTATTCTTTTCATGTTTTGCTTGCTTTTTGTGGTTTCGGTGACAAGTACCGTACTTGTACAACTCATCAGCGAAAAAATGTATAGTCTCGTACGTCAAGATTCATTCTTCTTATACCCCGATGCTTTTCTTAGGGTTTAATGTTATTTCCCGGTACCTTCCCGTCAAGAATTCCATCTATTTAGAACTATATGTTCGCCAATTCATGGTTCATCAACATTACGGACAATTCCCAAAGCTTTGAAACATGTGAAAACAGTCCGCCACCAAATGTCTCGGAAACCTTGCTCATGATAGTTGCTTCGCTAAAGCATATTATCATTCGTGAATGGGGATTGAAATTGAAGAGCGAAAGAGTATTGGGCTGTATGAATGTCGCCTCTCAGTCACGTTATTACCTTCTTGGTCATAGTAGGTATATTGAATGGGAATGCTATCCTTTGGGAACCCCTGTAACCAGACATTTGTTGTAGTCTGGGAATAATCTCGAATTGATAGTCAACAAAGCTCAAGGCATATAATCATAAGCGCTTACTCAGCTCAGCCAGCTAACTTCTAAAAGAAACCCTCCAAAGATAACACAGACTCCAGCCCTCTTACAACCTCACAAACTCACAGCCATAAAACCCACCAGAGCCTCAAACCACCTCAAAATGGCCGTCAACCCAGCAATTGAAACCATCTCACCCCAAGAACGTAAATTCTTCATCCAATTATCCGGCTCCCCTGGCTCAGGAAAAAGCACCCTGGCGACCCACCTAGCACCCCCAATAAACGCAGTGATCTTCTCCCACGACTCCGTCCGCTCCACCCTCCTCGCCTCGCTCCCCTTCGACGCCGCGGCGAAATTCACATATGAAATCGGCTGGACAATTGCGCACGACCTCATGGAGCAGACCAAAAATGTGATCATGGATAGCACGTGTAATTACCAGGAAACCCTTGATAGAGGGGAGGAACTGGCGAGAGAGGGCGGGTTTGAGTATTGGTATGTGGAGTGTCTGGTTGAGGATGGCGAGTTGTTGGATCGACGGTTGAAAGGGAGGAGAGCGATGAGGAGTCAGAGGACGGGGGTGGGTAGTGAGGGGGCACCGAGGGATGCTGGTGGGAAGGTGGTTAATAGGAAACCTGTGAGGTTGATGTGGGAGAGGTGTGTTGTTGTTGATTCGACGAAGGGGGTGGAGATGTGTTGTGAGGAGGTGTTGAGGAGGTTGGGGGTGTGAAGGTATTTTGTGGGAGATTGATGGTGTACTATTGAACGGAAAGAGAGAACAATTGATGAAATGATTGTTATAGATAAAAGAGTCAGCTAATCAGAGCCGCTCGCCTAATTTCAAGCTCCATAATGGGCCCAAAATAACGTTGTAACCACGAGTTACACCCATTGTAATCCTGTTCAGTGTATTGTGTAGTGAGCAATATCACAAGCGCCACTGCGCTCAATTTCAGGATCTCAACGCTTTAGACCAAAATGAAATGACTACTTCGAACATGCGAAACGTGATTTGGGATCAAAGAATACACGCAAAGCTGTACTATGCCAAACTGCGTACATCTACCTTGACCCCTGATACCCATATCAGAGTACAGGTACTGGCAAATAAAGCATGTCTTCATATGGTAGCAAATATTCAATACTTCTTATCTAAACTTTTTGGGTCTCATTCTTGTCATACATGCCTCTCCTATTGTAACAATCTTCTAACGTGGTTTATCAGCGAGTCGATCATATCACCGAGTCGATCACTTTTCCTTGGCACTACCTCCTCAAACTTCAACACACGTTTTCTTCAACTATTTACCATGGAAATTCAAACTCAAGTAGCGCGAATTACTCTAGCTATCGAGGCTATTCGGTCGTCCAAAAAACTAAGCAAACGCTCTGCGGCAAAGATCTACAATGTACCATATACGACTCTTTCCGACAGAATGGCTGGCCGAACCTACCGCCCAGATTCTCAAGCCAATTGTCATAAGTTGACTGAGTTAGAAGAGGAAGTGATTATTCGGTATATACTGGATATGGATTCCAGAGGATTTGCGCCCCGGCTCGCTGGTGTAGAAGATATGGCTAATTTTATCCTTGAATCGCGGGGGGGAAGACGCGTCGGCAAGCTCTGGGCCCATCGATTCGTACAACGACAACCAGACCTTAAGACGCGTTTTAATCGCGTTTACGACTTCCAGAGGGCCTTATGCGAAGATCCTGACGTGCTAGGCGCATGGTTCCGGCTAGTAGAGAATATGAGGGCGAAATATGGGGTTACAGACTCCGACTTCTACAACTTCGACGAGACAGGCTTTATGATGGGTGTTATTTGTCCTAGAATGGTTGTTACTCGTGCAGACCGACGTGGTAGAGGCAAGGCAGTTCAGCCAGGCAATCGGGAATGGGCTACAGCAATTGCCTGTATTAATGGGGAGGGCTGGAGTATTCCTCCATTCTTGGTAGTTCAGGGCAAGAACCATCTCTCCAACTGGTATACCGACGGCGGCCTCCCACCTAACTGGGTTATGAAACCGACAAGCAATGGTTGGACAAATAATGAAACAGGCCTGGAATGGTTAAAGCACTTTGATAAACACACTACAGCTCGTGCAAAGGGTCTGTATCGAATACTAGTTTTGGATGGGCACGAGAGTCATGAATCGGCTGAGTTCCAAGACTACTGTACGAAACACAACATTATTACTCTTGGACTACCTCCTCATTCATCCCATCTAACCCAGCCACTTGATGTTGGGTGCTATAGTGTGTTAAAACGAGCGTATGGTCGGCAGATTGAGACGTTTATCAAGGCCCATATCAACCATATTAAAGGTTGAGTTCTTTCTAGCCTTTACAGCAGCATACAAGGAAACAATGACAGTCCTAAACTGTCAGTCTGGATTCCGCGGAGCTGGCCTAGTACCATTTAACCCGCAAGCAGTGCTTTCAAAGCTTGACGTAAGGTTACGGACTCCAACTCCCCCTCGGACGTGTAGTGCCAACTCCCTCCCCTGGGTGTCCCAGACCCCTTCCAACCCAACTGAAGCCCTTTCACAATCAACTCTTGTACGAAATCGTATAGCCTGTCATCAAGGAAGCTCGCCAACTCCACTTTTTCAAACGGTTGCTGCGTTAGCAAAGGGTACAGAGCGAATGGCACATGAGATGACCCTTTTGTCTGCTGAGGTCCGTACCCTTCGCGCTGCAAATGAAG